ATAAAGTGAAAGGAAAACCTGAACCACGATGTTATTTTTCATCCATCAGGAATCGCTGTAAGTCATGCTTTGTGTGTGCGTGTGTGAAACTGTTAATTGTGTGTGAATTATCAACAAAAAAAAGTGAAAGACAAAAACGTGTGAATTATTGTGTTATTGTTGTGATGCTGCATTGAGGAGCTGCAGGAGGATGATGTCTGCTTCCATTCCCAACCTGCTGCAGCTGACCTGCTGTCATTGAGCATGCATCAGGATATTTAGATCCTGTAGTTTTAAAAAGTTTTGTGAGGAGTTTGTAGAAGTGAGCTGCCACTATATTTAGACTTTTCTCCTGTATTCCATTAGCATAGTGAGGTAAGAGACTTGTGGTTTGGTGAATTTTTATTTTTCTTCAGGTAAGAGAAAATACAGTGGTTTGTTTTGTTTGTTGTTTTGGTCTGAAGTAGGGATGCACCGATCCACTTTTTTAACTTCCGATCCGATCCCGATACCCGAGTCTGGATATCGGCCGATACCGATCCAGTTCCAATATCATGATCATCATTGATTTTATATGAGGCTGTGATAATCTCCTCTCAAATACAATTTGTACAAATATATGCATGCATGTCCAAAAAGGCAACTTGAGGTAAGTTGTATTAATTTTGCATAAGTTTTAAAGTTAGAATTAAATTCTGCTAACACAAAACATGTTTCTTTTTATTCCTAGCTTTAAAGTGGATATTAAAGTGATTAATTTAAGTGATTGTTTAAAATGTTTTTTTTTTAATAAGGGGCAGATATAAGAATTTTTTTCTTCTTTCTGCACTCTTTTCATTCAATGTTTTCTTTTTCATGATTTTTTTTTATATTTTGTTTCTTTAAAATGAAATAATTAAAATTAAATAAAATGTTAAATGTCTTCAAACAACTGGCATAAACCAACAGGCATGTTCCTGTTTTTAGTATTTTACATCACTTTATAATGTAGCTGTTTTTGTTTTTAATATAATTTTCAAATCATATGTTTTTTATGATTGTCTACTGTTGTACTGATAAATATCTCCTGGAGGGTAAACTATTTCTTGGCTGCAAGTATCAAACTGAGAAATCCTTCGTTTTCTACAACTGATAGTGGTTGGTCATTAATTATGATGAAGTTTAGTAACATCTCATTAAACATTTGAGCTCCGTGGTTTCAGCGACGTCTTCTTCTTGTTCAATCCGAAGCAGGCAGCCTGATTTGGGGCAGCCGCGCTCAGTCTGTCCCTCCTCAGAGACGGGCAGACTGAGCGGGGCAGATTGGACGAGGCTGGCCGGGATCGAGTCGCCTCTTTCCAGTTGAGCAAAGAGTAGGCACCGCAAAATGCCACGGAGCTCAAATGTCCAGCGTAAAACTAACTTTACCGCGGTTTAATGTGGCGCTATGGCTCTGCAGACATTGCACGTTGCTGTCTTGTTTTGTGGTGTTTAGTGTAAAATACTTCCACACAGCGACATGTTTAGATGAAAAGTTTGTTAGCTGTTAGCCACAGTGCTGCTAACTCAGTCCTCACGTTGCAGCTGGCTGCAAACTACGAACTGGATTTCCTGAATGTGAGGCGGATCTTAATACTCTGGGTTCATGAGACACGCCGCCGTTCAGGAAATCCATTCCATAGTTTGAAGCCAACATGCATCATGGATCGGAAATATCGGCAGGTGGATCGGAAAAATCCGATACGTAAATTATACTGGTATCAGAGGCCGATACAGATACTGGATCGGCCCCATCCTTAGTCTGAAGTTGGTAAGACTGCACAAAGTCAATAATTTCACTATCTGGAATAAAATCACTGTTCCATCATATAATCTAATTTAGTGGCTGCTTGAGTGGTGCAGAAGGTGGAATCGCCCATAAATAATAGCGTCCCTGTTATTGAGCTGGGGTGTAACATCACACAAACACTCCATCCATCTGTTCCTGGCCCTTCGCTCCAATTTTAGAAGTCAGTGTGGCCCCGCGAGGCCGAAAGTTTGCCCACCCCTGGTTTAAACAATGACCAGGGAACAGTGTTTCTTAGTTTAATTTAGATTTTTGTAACACGAGTCTATGCCAAGTGCTATAGCTACATTTACTTGAACGTGCTTATAGAAAAAAATAATTATCAAACATTACTAATTTTCTACACTAAATGTCACTGATGGTATTGTTCTACTAGTTCTGAACACCTGCATGTGTATTGATCTGGATAATAAAAAAATAAGACTCTTGCAATAAGCTGCTAGTGTTAACATTGAAGCAGGGGCCGATATGGTGTAGAGGCAGGGCAGCCGGCTTGGGACCCAAAAGCCCCAGGTTCGATACCCAGTCACTGCACATCACGTGGCGTCCTTGTGCAGCACACCTCATCCCCAAAATGTCCCCCGGGCGCTTTCAATAGCTGCCCACTGCACCACCTGGTGGTGGATGGGTTAAATGCAGAGACTAATTTCGCCATTGTATGGAAACATACAGTGCTGACATTGTGATGACATTATTATTATTATTTAGACTGAAGGTACATTGACATGGTGAAATGCTATTGTTACATTGTGAGCAATATTAGGATTCGTGACGCCACTAGCTATAACACAATGACTTCAAATACGGTGCCACTGCGGCCTTCGAACAATACGGACCCTGAATTTAAACACAGCCTTAAATATCTTCTGTAAAGCTGTTGCTTTATCCTTGATGGCATTCGTTTTACAGGACATCTCCAAACTGAATATTATTAAGAGATAAAAACAGCTTTCCGCTTCTTGATCTGATATTTTAGTTTCTAGATCTTGGCTACGTTAGCGTTAGCTTCTGTTAGCATGCTAAGCTACAAACACAGACAACACATTTACAAG